AATATTTTTTATGCATTTGTCCTTTAAACCATGTTTTTCTACATTTATTTCTTATTATTTACAAGTTTTTTAATGTTTATTTATTTTTGAGAGAGAGAAAATGAGTGGGGAAGAGCAGAGAGAGGGAGACACAGAATCTGAAGAAGGCTCCAGGCTCTGAGCTGTCAACACAGAGCTCAATGCTGGGCTCATACCCCAGAGCTGCAAGATCATGGTCTGAGCTTAGTTGGATGCCACCCAGGTGCCCCTAAACCATGTTTTTAAAAAGTGGCGTTACATACCAAAATTACAATAATACTAGATTTTATCGTTATCCGTGTATTTACCTTCACTGGAGATCTTTTTTTAAAGGTTATTTATTTATTTTGAGAGAGAGAGAATCCAAAATAGGATCCATGCTGACAGCGAGGAGCCCCATGCAGGGCTGGAACTCACGAACCATGAGATTATGACCTGAACCCAAATCAAGTATCTGACAGTTAATTGACCAAGCCACTCAAGTGCCCCATTCACTTGAGATTTCTGTTTCTTTTTACAGCATCAAGTAACTGTCTAGTTTCTTTTCAACTCAACCAGAAGGACACCCTTTAGCATTTCTTTTTTTTTTTTTTTTAACAGAAATGTTTGTTTATTTTGAGAGACAGAAAGAAAGTGTCAGTAGGGAAGGGCATAGAGAAAGGGAGATAGAGGCCCAAGCAGACCCCACTATGTTAGCACACAGCCCAAAGCATAGCTGAAACTCATGAACCATGAGATCATGACCTGACCTGAAATCAAGATTGAATGCTTAACCAACTGAGCTACCCAGGCACCTTGCACCCTTGAGCATTTCTTGCAGGACTGGTATAGTGGCAGCAAACTCTCTTATCTTTTGATTATCGGAGAATGTCTTCATTTCTCTCTCATTTTCTTGATTTATACATTTCTTCACTTCTCTAAGATTTTTTATTGTAATAAAATACACTAACAAAAAATTTACTATCTTAACGATTTTTAAGTGTGCAGTCAGTGGTTTTAAGTACATTCATATTGTTGTGCAACCACCAACATCATCCATCTCCAGAACTTTTCCATCTTGCAAAATTGCAACTCTATACCCATTAAGCAATGATTCTTTATTTCCTCTCTCCTGTCAGCCCCTGGCAACCACCATTCTACTTTCTGTATCTATCAATTTGACTACTCTAGGTACCTCTTATCAGTAGAATCATACAGTATTTGTCTTTCTGTAACTGGCTTATTTCACTTACTACAATGTTCTCAAGTTTCATCCATGTTATAGCATGTGTCAGAATTTCCCTCCTTTTTAAGACTAAATAATATTCCAAAATAGTAAACATTTTGTTTAATCATTAATTCATCGATGGTTACTTGGTATGTCTGGTTATTTTCATTGTGTACTAGACACAATATTTGAATACTTGTTTGTAGAAAAAGTTTGAGGCCTAGAATAACATTTTTTTTTTCCCATAGAAGATCTATACTTGTGGGGCACCTGGGTGGCTCAGTTGGTTAAGCGTCTGACTTCGCTCAGGTCATGATCTTGTAGTTTGTGAGTTCATTGGCTCTATACTGACAGATCGGAGGCTGGAGCCTGCTTTGGATTCTGTGTCTCCCTCTCTCTCTGCCCTTACCCGTTCATGCTCTGTCTCTCTCAAAACTAAATAAACATTAAAAATTTTTAAAAATTTGGTAAAACATCTATACTGCTTCCAGCAGGTTCCTAGAAAAATCTAGCAATCCAGAATCACATTATACCCTTCCAGGAACTGAGATGATTTGAAACTGGGCTGCAAGTTTTGCTGGTCTTAGTTTGCTTCTAGTTTTCCTATGGTCCTGTGGAGACTCAACTTACAGCACAGGAAATTCATTAGGGATCCTCCTCCTTCCTAATCTCATGGTCTCTGGTATTCTACTGTTTACTCCTAACTTTGTAAGGTTGGCAAAAGCACTGCTCAGATGTCTCTACAGGAAGTAGCGCTCAAGGGGAAAGGAATTCCAATATGAAGTGTACCTCTCTAGATTATCTCCTGAATCTAATAGGGTAATTATTACTGCCTTTATCACCATAAAGTAGTTGCTTTTTATATTTTGTTAGCTTTTCTAATTGTACTCATTGCAAAGTTTGGTCTAAATTATCTGTAAAGGAAGTATGGTGGTTTTTTATTCTATTCTTTTTGTTGCTTTCTCTCAAATTCAATATAGGAGCCATCAAGTTCTCTACCACAACCTTCAAACTTCGAAGCCAACATCAGTTCTTCAGTCCCAACAGATAGTTTGGCTTTTTGTTCAACTGAGTAAGCATATCTTTCTCAGTGCCCTACTCTCTACCTCAGTATTATTTTTTAAATTATTTGATTATTTATTTGTTTTTGTATCTTTCTATATTTTTGTCCACTTCCTTTCTTTCTCAAAATAAAATCAGTCAACTCTTGTTAACATAGCTTCAGCTTTCTACCTCCCATCTCCCCCAGTTTCCATCTCACCTTGCTTCATCAACTAGAGACAAGGCTGTCTTCAATGTCTCCTGTCTGTTTATAACATTTTCCAGGTATTCCTCACCTAAATAAAACCTCACCCTAGATCCCTACTGTCTTAAGCTGTCATACCCTCTTTTCCCTTCTTCACATGGATATCCTTCCCCGAAGAGAAAACTTCTGTGGTTTCTATTTCACCTCTACCCATTCTCTTGAAACTCCTTTATAGATGGTCACCAATGATATGGAGGTTGGCAATGACTTTTTGACATTTTCTTCTATGTTAATTTTTTTTTGGAGCACATGAAACTATGTCCTACTTTTCCTTAAATCTCTTTTTCTCTTGGCCTAAATTGTAATGTGATTTTCCTTATTCTTTTACATTTCTGACCATTAGGCCTCTGCCACTGTAGCTGGCTACTTCTCTCACATTCCTTATAAGACAACCATAATTTCAGAGTTTCTGCAATGTCTTTGGGGCAGATAAATGGTTCTATTGTTAGAAAGCCAAGATTTTCACAGATGGGCCATAGGCACATTCTAGAGTAGAGGAATAAAAATGGGAAAAATTTTGCTTAGCAATCCAAAAAGCTATTTCAAATAAACTGGGGAAATTTTTATAGGTTATATTGCCGTTAGGAAAATGTTTCTCTTAATGTGTATTTACACTACATTGTCTCTGAGAAAAATTGTTTGTCTTTGAAAAGGGCATGTGAGATTGTGCTTACATGTTACCTATAGGACAATTTAGAGGGCTATCCTCACCTCCCACCATGAAGATGCTTGAACAGGGACTGAACTTGTAGTGGGAAAGCCCTTTGTGGACTGTTATCCTGAAGTCACCTGCATTGTTATCCTAAATTGACTTGCTGACATTCTGGGAAATATCCTAGTAGTTTTCTGTGCTCCCTGAGTTCCATGTGTTCCATTATGTCTAGTGTTAGAGAATTCACTGGGCCTAAAATAGAGGTGTAAAATTTGCACAGAAAAAGAAAATGGTAAAATGCACTTTTGTTTAAGGAAAGAAATAGATAGGTTTCAAGTCATGAAAACAAGACTAAGAAGTCAAATGTACACTGTGAAAGGAGTAATGTTTTTCCTTTTCTCTAGGATTCTGAGATATGATCATCTATTTAGCATGGAAATTAAGTTTTCTTCTCTCCTTCATTATCATTTCCTGTAGTTATTACCAAAAGTCTAACAAAATTTTCAGTATGTCCTAGAGCCTTGTTTGAGTGGTTTTATGGATAAATAAAGGATACCCCAGAAAGGAGACATGCTGACATCTCTGCACCATCACCACCATATCCAGGTGTAATTATTGAGGAAGAACAGGAGACACAGAGGTCCAAGTGATGAAGAACAGTCTGAGCAACCTAAGGTAGTGCTGAGAGTAGCTGAGAGGAGAATATGATAATGGAAGGCCAACCACACTTCAGTGACTGCCTTCCCGAAAGGAAGATACATCTGCAAGGGGGGACACTTCCCAAAGTTCTATCTTGAACTCTCTTTTCTGTTCTTGTCTTGCTCCCCTCTCTTGACATATTGTCTACTTCCATGGGCTTCTGTGAGCCTGTGGAATCACCCTCCCCCTCATTCCTAAGTTATAATCACAAGCCCGAAACTTATGTCCTGAACTCTAGTCCCATATTTCCTACCAAGTGACTATAGACATACTATTCACATTACAAACTCCATGTGATTAAGGTTAAACTTAGTGTTTTTACTTTCCACCTACATTCCTTCTATCCACACTAGCATTTCTGTCTACTATTTTTATTTTTGTTAGTTGCATAGTCATGTTCCATTGCCCAGGCTTAGATTGGGGTCATCTTCAAGTTCACCTCTCTTGCCATTGTCTTTTGCCATCTCCCATCCATTTGCTTGAGCACATCTTGTTATTTCTTCTTTAGTGGTCCTTTCTTTGGACCTCACTTTTCTGTTCCTACTGCTACGATCCTAACCTGGCCCCCTTGCTTCATGCTCTGGTTCTTGTGATACCCTCCTGGTTTCTAGTTTCTTTTTTTGCCTCTTATAGAAATCTGTACATAACCACCAAATTAATAGCCTCCTAAAGTTTTTTCACATCACTTCTCTGTTAGAACTTTTAGTGAGTCTTTTTTATTGCCTTCCCAGCTGGTATTTAGTGACTTCTCTGGCTGGTATTAAAAATGCTCCAGTCTGGCCCCTCTACCTTTCCAGTTTTATATCTCTCTACTCCCCTAAATGGGCCTTGCTTTCAACAAAACTGGTCATGCTATCCATTTTATTTCCTCTTTATCTCATAGTTTTCTCATTTTCTGGCACATTCTTTGTCTGCTTTCATCTCAGACACATCTTTCACAAGCTCTACCTCAAATGCCACCCAAGAATTGAGGCCAAAATTTCTCTGTCTTAGCCTTAAACCTCCATTTCACTGATTGTATATCATTATGTGTTATAGGGATATATGTATATGCCTTATTTCTCCAACTAAATTGAACATCTTAGAGAGTAAAGATGTGTATTTTATTTCCTTCACAGACCCTGTCAGAATGATAGGCACGTTATAATTGGCAAATGTTGGAAGGACTATTTGAATGAAAGAATATTCAGGAATAAAATTCTAAAGAAGAGCAGTTATACAATTGGGAGGAGGATTTCCCCTGTTCTCACTGAGAATTCTGAACAAAAGGTAATTTTTAAAGCTGATCTAAGCTATGTGTCTAAATTTACTGTTGGCTTCTTGTAGTCCTTTGAGTTGGACCAAATTAGACCTAAGCATGCAGATCTAAGAAAAATAGCCAAAAGGCTTTTTCTTGAACAAAATTTATTTTTCTTGCCATAGCTATGTAGGAAGATAAGATATGAACACAAAATGTATCTAGTTTTCCAGTTAAAGATAGATCTTTTGCAAATATTATTAAACTTGTTATTTCTAAGCCATTTGCAAGTCTGGCTTAACCTACTAGAGCCTACTAGAAAATATCATTTTAATAAAATTAGATTCCTTCTTCCAGATTAATGTATATAGAATTCTCTAAAAATAAAAACGGAAGAAAATGACATCAGGAAAGCAGGGGTAAGTTCTTAGTTTTTTAATTCCACAGAAATGATATTATTCTGGTCTCCTCAAATGGTTTTGTTGTGTTTAACCAACACACTGAGAGAAGAAGAACAAAATGTCAAGTTTTAATCTATTAAAATAATTATGTTTTGTTTGCTTTAGTTGATAGCAAGTAATTTTCAGTCTCAGAAAGCAATGTTTTATTTATTTATTTATTTATTTATTTATTTATTTTTTATCCACTGCTAATCTTGACAGTATTTTGATGTCAGTGAGTATTTAGCTGGTTGTATTGCAATTTTGCCAAATTGCTTAGAGTCTGGATGCAAAAAAAATTCCACAAAATAGATTTTATATTACTGACTTGATATTAAGTGAATTTGGCTGCATTATCTCTGTTTATTCACTTTAATCAAAACAGGGTAAGTACTGAAATATTCACATTCAAAGCTTAGCTACAGCAAATTCTCAATAGGCCAGTTGTCTGTCTGTCTTTCTCTGTCACACATACATCTACTTCTGTTGCGCCCTTATATTTCTCGGAGAACAAATCTTGGCGATACCATGGAAACACACATTTGTCAGGTGATCTGAACTATCTGAGACTGCAAAAAGCATGGATTCTGGAAGCTTCCTAATGGGGTTCTTAATGGGGATTTCCAGACTGTAAAATTGAATGGCTAGGGTTGCTAATCTCTTGAGATCTGTAACCTCTTCTGTCATGGTGAGAATGGACATGGTAAGAAAAGAAGAAGGATGTGGCTCTTTCAGGTAAAATCATCAATTCAATGAAGCAAAAATATGAGCATCTGTGGTGGTCATGGATTGCAGATCGCCAATGATGCGGGAGTGTAATTGAGCAGGGACCTCAGCTGCTCCACTCTGAAATTCATCCTCATTTTGCACCAAGACCAGGCCTCCCATGGGCTGTTCTCAGTCAGTGACATAGCTGGGCACAGTATCAAGGCAGGCCTGTTCCTGGGAGCCATGGGACTCCTATGGCTTTGTTTAACCTTCCTCAGACTGCATAGCAGTCCAGCAGACTTTCATCTAGCCTTTCCTCCTGTTCTCCATCACTCAGAGGCAGCCTGGCATTACGGTCTGGTGGCTCCCCTAGCCCTTTTCAGCTTTGTTCCTATTTTCCTTCACACAGGTGTTTCCCCTAATATATCCTTGTACATATAATCCCATCTGTTTCTCCAGTGATCTGGATTAACACAGCATCTCTGCAGTGCAAAGTATTCTTCTGGGACACATTCGATAAACCTCTGTCAGAAATAGTTCACCTCCATTGCCTTGTTCCTTGCTCTTGCAGAAAATAGCTGTGGGTGCCTGGGGATGCAGTGAGTAGGTGTACTTTTTCTGATACTTAGCATGAGCTCAATGAATATTTGTTGGCATCATTCATTTATTCAATCAATTATCCCTTCAGCCAGAAAATACATGCCCTTAGGCATACATTTATCCTAAGAATTTCAATGAGGTAAGAACATCTTTAGGCATTGGTTTATTTGGGTGGTGAATGCAACTTAACTGCATGTTTTTCTTTTTCTTTCTTTTACTTTTCTTTAAAATTATAGTTTGTTGTCAGATTGGTTTCCATATAACACCCAGTGCTCATCCCAACAAGTGCCCTCCTCCGTGCCCATCACCCATTTTCCCACACTCCCCATCAACCCTCAGTTTGTTCTCAGTATTTAAGAGTCTCTAACAGTTTGCCTCCCTCCCTCTCCTTAACTTTTTTCCCCCTTTCCCTCCCCTATAGTCCTCTGTTAAGTTTTTCCTATTCCACATACGAGTGAAAACATATGGTATACATGTTTTTCAAGAATAACTACCATATAACAAAAATAGGCACAATAGGGATATTGAGTTTGATACTGTTGAGTTTGATAAGTTCTTTATAGATTTTGGATACTAACCCTTTATCTGATATGTCATTTGCAAATATCTTCTCCCATTCTATCGCTTGCCTTTTAGTTTTGCTGTAAATACTTTATTTTAATTCTAGTGGAGTTAATCTTTGATTTTTTTAATCTTGAAAAATAATTTGCAATTTTATTGCTTTCAAGATAAAAAACTAGAATCATAAATATATATTTCATGATTCATGTAGCTGATTCCATGATGTTTCAGCCCATCTGCTATATTTCCAAAGGTCTCAAAAAAAATTTCCCTAGGTTATTGAGGCACTTTGTCCCTCCTTCAGCGTCCAGGTTTAGGACTGGTAAATACAATGAAATCATTTGAAGATTTAATGTAGCCATTTTCACTTGTCCTGTGGCACTCCTGTTGTCTTGTACACAGTATAAAGAAGGAAATGGAGAAACATCAGCAATAGCAGCATAGAACATCCTTTGAGGGACTGTTATGCTTGACCCATTGAATCTGTTATTCCACTAAATCTTTCAAAGGGCCCTGCAAATACCCACATTTCCTATTGAACACACTGGGATTCAGAGAGTGGAAGTGTTTTGCTGAAAGTCATACAACCAACCACCAAACAGCAGACATGGCTTTTGAACTCCAGACTGCCCAGCTCTGCTGCCTTTGCAGTTTTCAGACATGATGAATTCTGCCTGCAATCCAAAAGCATTTGTCATATTCAGAAATGTTCGTTCAGCTTGAGCACATGTAAGAACTCATGTAGAGTACTTGAAGCCATCTCCCCCCACAGTCCCCTTCTCTGAACCTTATGGCTCGGGGGATCCCGGTAAGAGGAGAAGCACTAGAGTTACCATTTCAGTCATCCGTGGCTGTGTAACAAGTCATCCCTAAGCCTCATGGCTGAAAATAACTATTTAGGGGCACCTGGATGTGTGTATAATAATATACATACATACATAGATTGTATGTATATACATACAATAAGTGTATGACACTTGATTTTGGCTTATGTCATGATCTCACAGTTTCATGGATTTGAGCCCTGTTTTGGGCTCTGTGCTGACCATGCATAGCCTGCTTTGGATTCTCCCTCTCTCTCTGCCCCTCCCCGGCTTGTGCTCTGTCTGCCTCTCTCAAAATAAATAAATAACCTTAAAAAAAAGAAAAGAAAAGAACCACTTATAATTTCTGACAATTCTGTGTCTTAATCAAGCAGTACTGCTTCACATGGCATCTGCTGGGGCTCTGGGATGGCTGGAAAGTTCAAAATGGCCTCGCTGCTATGTGGTTGCCTTCTGGCTGCTGGAAGCTCAGTGGAGTCCTCAGTTCTCCACGTGGGTTCTCCATATGGCTGCTTGGACTGCCTAACAGCATGGAGGCTACATTTTAAGAAGGAAGTGCAGGCTGCGATAGCTGAAGGCCTTGCCTTGAAAGGCACCCAACATAACTTTCACCACATTTACTTGGCCAGATGGGATCACAGGGCCACACATTCAGGATAAGAGGATATGGACCCCAACTCTTGATGAAGGGACAGTGAAGTCTCATTGCAAAATCACATATAGGTCTTAAACAATTAGAAACGAAGAACAAACAAAACCTTATGCCAACAGAAGGAACAAAATAATAAAGATTAGTGTGGACATAAATGAAACAGAGACTAGAAACACAGCTGAGATAATCAACAAAACCAAAAGTAAGTTCTTTCAAAAGATCAACAAAATTGACAAATCTTAGCTAAACTAAGAAAAAAAGAGAGAAGACACAACTAAAATCAGAAGTAAAAGTGAGGACATTACTACTGACCTTACAGAATTTAAAAAGATGAAAAGAGAATACTATGTATAATTGTATGCCAACAAATTAGAAAAATACATAGAAACCCACAAATTGCCAAAGGTGACTCAGGAAGGAAAAGAAAATTTCAACAGACATATAACAAGTAGAGAAACTGAATCAATAATCAAAAACCTCCCAAAAAAGGAAAGCACAGAACCAGATACCTTTTCTGATGAATTCTACCATTTTTAAAATGATTTAAAAGTTTTTTAATTCCAGTATAGTTAACATAGAGTGTTATGTTAGTTTCAAGTGCACAATATAGTGATTCAAAAATTCTGTATTACTCACCGCTCATCAAGATAAGTGTATTTTGGGGGCTCCTGGGTGGCTCAGTCAGTTAAGTGTCCAACTTCTGCTCAGATCATGATCTCATGGTTTGTGTTTGAGCCTCCCATTAGGCTCTGTGCTGACAGCTCAGAGCCTGGAGCCTGCTTAGTATTCTGTATCTCCCTCTCTCTCTGCCCATCCCCCCACTCATGCTCTGTCTCTCTCTATCCCTCTGTCTCTCTCTCTCTCAAAGCTAAACAAAAAAAATTTAATTGAAAAATGAGTGTATTCTTAATCTCCTTTACCTATTTCACCCATCCCCACTGTCTGCCACCCCTCTGATAACTATCAGTTTGTTCTTTCTACTTAAGAGTCTTTTTTCATTTGTCTCTTTTTTCTTTGTTCATTGCTTTGTTTTCTTCCTTAAATTCTACATATGAGTGAAATCATACAGTATTTGGCTTTCTTTGACTTATTTTGCCTGTTCTCTTTAGATCCAACCATGTTGTTGCAAATAGCAAGATTTCATTCCTTTTTATGGCTGAGTAAAATTCCATTGTATGTATATAATAAAATCTTCCTTATCCATTCATCTATCCATGGATGCTTCGGCTGCTTCCATGATTTGGGTGTTGTAAATAATGCTATAGATGTAGGGGTGCAAGTATTCTTTTGAATTAGTGTTTTTGTATTTTGGGGATAAATACTCAGTAATGTAATTACTGGATCGTAGGATAGTTCTATTGTCAGCTTTTTGAGGAAACTCCAGACTGTTTTCGACAGTGGCTGCACCACTTTGCCTTCCTCCCAACAATGCATGAGGGTTCCTTTTTCTCCACATCCTCACCAATACCTCGTTTCTTGTGGTTTTTTATTTTAGCCATTCTGACAGGTGTAAGATGATATGTCATTGTGATTTTGACTTGCATTAACCTGATAATGAGTGATGCTGAGCATCTTTTCATGAGTCTCTTGGCCATCTGGATGTCTTCTTCAGAAAAATGCCTGTTCATGTCTTCTGCCCATTTTTAAATTGGATTATTTCTGTTTTGTTGTTGAGTTTTATAAGTTCTTCATATAATTTGGGTACTAACCATTTATCAGATATGTCATTTGCAAATATCTTCTTCCATTCAATAGGTTGCCTTTTAGGAAGTCTAGAGACATATCTAGAAAGATGTTGCTATGGCTGATGTTACTGCCTGCACTGTCTTCTATGATTTTTATGGTTTCAGGCCTCACATTTAGGTATTTATTCCATTTTGAGTTTATTTTTGTGTACGGTGTTAAAAAAATGGTCCAGTTTTATTCTTTTGCATGTAGCTGTCCAGTTTTCCCAACACCATTTGTTGAAGAGATTCTTTTTCCCACTGCACATTCTTGCCTCTTTCGTCAAAGATTAAGTGACCACATAATTGCGGGCTTTTTTTTTTTGAGCTCTCTATTCTGTTGTGTTGATCTATGTGTCTATTTTTGTGCCAGCATCATACTCTTTTGATTACTACAGCTTTGTAGTGTATTTTAATATCAGGGACTGTGATAGTTCCTGTTTTGTTTTGCTTTTTCAAGATTGCTTTGGCTATTTGGGGTCCTTTGTGGTTCCACACAAGTTTTAGGATTATTTGGTCCAGTTCTGTGGTATTTTGGTAGGGAAAGCATTAAATCTATAGATTGCTTTGGGTAGTATGAACATGTTAACTATATTTATTCTTATAATCCAGAAACATAAAATATCTTTCCACTTACTTTGTGTCATATCTAATTTCTTTCATAGATGTTTTGTAGATTTCAGAGGTCTTAACCTCCTTGGTTAAGTTTATTCCTACGTACATTATTATTTTTGGTACAGTTGTAAATGGTATTGTTTTCTTAATTTCTCTTTCTGCTGCTTCCTTATTAGTATATACATATGTAATGGATTTCTGTATGTTGCTTTTGTATCCTACGACTTTATTGAATTCATTTATCAGTTGTAGTAGTTTTTTGGTGGGCTCTTTAGAATTTTCTCCATATAGTATCATGTCATCTGCAAATAGGGAAAGTTTTACTTCTTCCTTGCCAATCTAGATACCTTTTGTTCATTTTGTTGTGTGATTGCTGTGGGTAGGCCTTCTAATACTATGTAGAATAAAAGTGGTAAGACTGAACATCCTTGTCTTGTCCCTGACCTTAGGGAAAAGCTCTCAGTTTTTCACCATTGAGTAAGATGTTCACTGAGGGTTTTTCATATATGGCCTTTATTATGTTGAGTATGTTCCCTCTAGACCTACTTTGTTGAGGGTTTTTATCATGAATAGGTC